TACTTATGACATTAGTCCTGTCATACAGGGAGGGCTTCTTAATCACCTGCTCCTCGTCCATAGTTATTCAGCTAATCATCACAAATATTCTGACATTAATATTAGGTATACAAGAAATTTATATATAGTTCCTACGTATATACACTATATTTTATATATTATATAAATTAACCCAATTAATTTTATTGAATTATTATTTTATGATAACTAGATAACGTAGACATAACGTCCACTAATTACAAATTGTAGAAACATCATCAGTAATAACACTTGATTGAAAAGTATTATTAATATAACGTCATATTGCATTATTTGTACCAAATTAAATGTACCATATCCAGTCAATTATCATATTCAGTAATTAAGACATATTTACTATTAAGTTATATTTATAACTAAACAGAATAGTTGCTAAAATGTTGCATCACACATTTCTAGTTAAATAAATGCATATTAGTACAGTACAAAATAATTATTATTTATTAAAGTTTTATCTAAATTGGTGTTTATTATTAGAATTTTAACCACCGTATAATCAATGAGATAAAAGTATAATGCATTAATTTATATAAAATTATTTCTCAATATAAAATGTTTAAAAACTCAATATTTCCCGGAATTCATAAGCGACTTAATCATTAAATTGAAGCCAGAAATATTAAATAATTTATTCAAAATTTAGCAACAAGTTACAATATATTTAATACTTTTTTCAATGAGGTTATAGTTACACAAAATTGACTTTTTTTTGTACTCATGCGCTCACCACTGGTAGACATGACACAACTTGTGGTCAATTCTTATGCGAGAATATAAACATTATTTTCACATACAGTTTAGTGCATTGATTCACATTAGATAACAAAATCACTTATGGTGCCAGTTTTGCCAGTATATCCCATTGAAAGTAAACATATCATATTGAAGTATATCTGATATACCAAAATCAAACGTACCTCTGAAAAGTTGCTTTTATTTCTTATTGAAACATTGCTTTTCTGTAAAGTTTGAAATTTATAAGGTTTAAAATAAGTAAATTTGAAACTTTACAGAAAAGCAATGTTTCAATAAGAAATAAAAGCAACTTTTCAGATATACCTTTGAATTTGGTCTATCAGATATAATTTTTAAAATATTTGATTAACATCATTTAGTGATACAGTATCGGGATTTATTTTTAGCCAAATACTGAACAAATGTTATCACATATTTAATGCATGCCTTTTAATTATAGTAAAATAAAACAAAATAAGGAAAAATAACAAAACATAATATTGCACAATTTAACAAGGAAATGAGTTCATTTCAAAATATTTTTATGAAAATTCTATAAAAAGATACAATTTTATTATAATATTAAAGTGTCAATATGTAATCAATCTAAAAATATCTTATTTCAAGATTTAAATAATCCTTCAAAACAATTAAAATAATATTATAGATGTATATTTTTAGTTGTATGTTTGTCAATATGTCACACTTTACATTCAATATTTTATCGTAGTCATTATTATATCTATAATTATTATAAGTTGCAAACTAATTATAATAAACTATTGAAACCAATATAAAAATGGACAAAAAAGCACACATTTTACATGGATTTAGATGAATAAATAAATAGCAAAAAAGCGATTCTTTGTAAAAAGTGATTGTATTTGTAGTAATGAGTGGACTCAACCAAATTAAATGTAAACTTTATGATAAAAATATTTAATTTTACAAAATTATAACAATTTGACAAAATATATTTGTTAGTAGATATCTACACAAAATATAATACTTTAAACATTAAAAACATATAATTCCACTAAATATACACAAAAATCAATCATTAATTGAATTGTGACGGGAATTCCTACGGAACGCCTGCTCGGCCGCCGCGAACAGATGCCTTTCCATCTCCCGTCCCGTGTGTCTCACCAACTGGGACAACATGGAGTTCCTATTCTGTAAGAGTGCGTGGGGACTGTCAAACTCTGTGATCCTCCCGGCGTCCATAACCAACACTTTGTGCGAATCGATAATAGTGTTGAGTCTGTGAGCGATCGTAATGACCGTACAGTCGGCGAAGTTTCGCCGAATAGTCGCCTGAATTAAAGCATCGGTTTTGTGGTCGACATTAGCGGTCGCCTCGTCCAACACCAGCACCCGATTCCTCCGGAGTATAGCCCGCGACAGGCATATCAATTGCCGCTGACCCACCGACAGGTTGGCGCCCCCTTCCGACAGCTCGTACTCCAGCCCTCCCGGCATCTCCAGCACCGGCTCCCGGAGCTGAACCGCCTCTAACGCCGCCCACAACTCCTCGTCCGAGTGCTCCGCAAACGGATCCAAATTGCGGCGCAAAGAGCCGATGAAAGCCATCGGTTCCTGAGGTATGATTGACATCTTGCGGCGCAAGTCGTGTAGACCCACACTCTTGGTGTCGACGC